AGAGGTAAGTTTAGAGGGAGAGAATTCCAGGGATGGGAAATAGCTAGTATTAGGGCATGGAGATAGTAGATATAGTATCTTGTCTGAGGAAAAGCAAGTGGGCCAGCTGTTTAGCCAAGTGAATAGAGGAGGGAAGTAAAGTGTTAAGACTAGAAAGTTAGGAATGGGCCAGGTTATGAAGAACCAAACATAGGACTTTATTTTTTTTATCATAGAGGTAATAGGGAACAATTAGAGTTTATTGAGTGAAGAAGGGAGTGAAAAATCATTTCAGCAGCTGAGAGGAGTATGGCCTGGAATGTGGAGAGACTTAAAGTAAGGAGATCAGCAAGCTATTTTCAATAGTTCAAGTGAGAGATGATAAGGAGATGAACTAGGATGGTAGCTGTGTAAGTAGAAAGAAGGAGACTTATCTGACAGACACTTTTGGAAAAAGAAATTACAAGATTTAATAACTGATTGGATAAGCAAGAGTGGGGTGATAAGGATGACCCTGAGGCCATGTGTCTAGAAATATATGGGTACCTCAAAGAGTATGGGGAAATTGGGAAGAGGGATAGGTTTTTTTGGGGGGGGAGAATAATGAGTTCTGTTTTGGACCTGTTAAGCTTTGAGATATGTACAAGATATTATATTTGAAATGTCCAATAGGCAGTTGGTGATACAGAGCTAGAACTCAGGAGAGAAACTAGGGCTGGATAGGGCTGAGAATCATTTGCATAAAGATTATAATTTAACCCCTATATGGTTGATGGATAGAGCTCCAGTCCTGGAGTCAGGAATACCTGAATTAAAATCTGGCCTCAGGCACTTAGTAGCTGTGGTACCCCAGGCAAGTCACTTAACCCTGTTTGCCTCCATTCCTTATCTGTAAAATAAGCTGGAGAAGGAAATGGCAACCCACTCCAGTATCTTCGCCCAAGAAAACCCCGAATGGAGTCACAAACAGTCAGACATGACTGAAACAACTCAACGACATCAACAAAAATTATTAATGAGATTACTAATTGAGGGACTATATAAAGAAAAGAGAAAAAGGTTTAAAAGGACAAAGCCTTGGGGCATGCCCACGGTTAGTGGGTAAAACATGGATGAAGATCTAGCAAAAGAGACTGAAGAATGGTCAGCCAAGTAGGAGGAGGACCAAGAGAACAGTCACAAAAACCCAGAGCAAAAAAGAGTGCGTAGAGAAAGCAGTCATGAAAATCCAGAGAGGAGAGAAGACAAACAATAGCACTAAACACTATGGAGAAAAGAAAGGAGGATACAACTCCATTTCTAAAGTGCTTCTAATAAGAAGCTCACTTATTAGACAGTATTCATATGAGGGGGCAGGTAGACGTCACAGTTGGATAGGTGAGGTGTGGTTGGGAGTTCTTTGGTTTCTAGAAGGCTTTCTCTGTTCTCTGTGCTCCAGTGTTGTGTATTTCCCTGTGAGAGTTGTGTGTCAGGACATGCTGTGAGCTGCCCAAAGTCTTAGGCATAGAGACTACCCAAGGGTTTGGGAAATAAGTGAATCGGTGTTACAAGATCAGCAGTAAACTGTCCTTAGCCACACATTCTGAGCCCTTCCCTCTTCTCTCAGGTGTCCTTGTGTCAGGATTACAGAAGCCTTATTAAGTCACATGACCCTGACATCAGAAAGTCTTGAATTTTGCTTAAAAGTTGTACCAAGGAATTTTTGATGGGATGGTAGGATTTAAATCAGCCTTAAGGGGCAGCTGGGTGGCTCAGTGGATACAGCACCAACCCTGAAGTCAGAAGGAGGTGAGTTCAAATCTGGCCTCAGACCAAACACTTGACACTTACTAGCTGTATGACCCTGGGCAAGTCACTTAACCCCAATTGCCTAAAAAAATAAAGTCAACCTTAAAAATTTAGGAATATCCCAACTTTATTCCAAATATACCAAAGTTGGCTTTCATAGATTATTGATCTACAGCTAGATAAGGCCTCAGGGGCTTGAATAATTCATTGTAGTTTCTCTCTCTCTCTCTCTCTTTCTCTCTCTCTCTCTCTCGCTCTCTCTCTCTCTCTCTCTCTCTCTCTCTCTCCCCCCCCCACCTCCAGCCCCATCTTATACTACTCACCTTACTACAACTACCACCACTGGACCTGGAGTCAAGAAGACCTGAATTTTAAACCTACCCCAGATATTTACGAGATGTTATGACCCCAGGCAAGTCACTTCATCTCTCTCTGTCTTAGTTTCCTCCTCTGTAAAATGAGAGGGCTTGGATTGGATAGTCTGTAAGGTCTAGACCTAAACCTATGATCCTATGAATTTATGCAAACCCATCTTGGAATTATTAGTGTTTTCAGCCTAGGCTATATGCTGAAAGATTGAGTTCTATTGCTTACTACCTACTGAGTTTAGCTCATACTTTCAGAGCTTTTCAGTGGGGTAAGATCAAGCTTATTGATTTATTTCCAATATCAGTACCCTTCCAGATGATGATCCTTTGGGATACATTAGTACTTTGAATCAATATCTACAAGGAATGAAGAGCATACCTTGAATAATAAATCTGCATTCTGGGTTATAAGTGATAACTAAGAACCAGTAATTTAATAATTATAGTTTAGAGTATTTTCCTGTAAAACTCATTACTATGCATTTGTTAAATTTAAAGCACAGCTGTCATATTTATGTTCAATCACAGTGTCTTTTTTTTTTTGATTAGGCAATTTGGTTAGGAGTTAAGTGACTTGCCCAGGGTCACACAGCTAGTAAAGTGTCAAGTGTTTGGTCTGAGGCTGGATTTGAACTCAGGTCCTCCTGATTTCAGGACTGGTGTTCTATCCACTGCACCACCTAGCTGCCCCCAATCACAGTGTCTTTCAAGATTATCATATAGCTTGTTTCCAAAGGCTTAGTATTTGACAGTCCCAAAGTGGAAGATTTGCAAGCTTGGAAAGTTTACTATACAGTGAATGTTCTCCCATATCATTAGTACTCAAATATTCCAGTGAATGTAGTATCTCCTCACTGTGGGTATTCTCTCCAACAGTGCAGTGTGCACTCCACCCATATATGCCTATTGGACATAACTCTTGCCACGTCCTCCCATCAATTCACCCAGGAAACCACCTAAGATGATAGAGGCCTTCCTCATTGTTTCTTGACATTGTAAGGATATCAGAGGAGCACAGGGGCTGTCCAGCAGTTATCTCTTCATCCTTACCATGGGACCACCTTAACATTCTCATTTCCACATTTCTCTAATAACATCCTTTACTCCTTTTCCATTTTTTTATATAATGTTTTGTGGCCTACTCACAACTACCATGTACCTCACCATTGTTCTGAGGGTGATTTTCAATTTCAACTCTTTGTAGACTATAGTTGTTCTGTAACTCATAGCCATACAACAGCACTGGAAGATCATTGGATCTTAGAACTGGAAGCTAAAAGGAACCTTAAAGGTCAGTCATCTTGTCTGATAAAAAAAAATGAAATAAGACCTCTTCAAGCACTGATTCCTGAGGGTCACACTTTTTACATGATCCCCATTTAGAATAGTGTCCATTTATTCTTACTTTCTTAGTGAGGCAGTATTGGGATGGTGGATAGAATGTGACCTTGAAGCCAGGAAGACCTGAGTTCAAATCTTGACTCTGACACATACTGGCTGTGTGACCTTGGGCAAGTTGATTAACCTCTCAATGCTCTAGGCAATTCTCTAAGACTGTAAGTTGGAAAGATGGTGCTAACCAGCATTGGTAGAAGAAGCTCCCCACTGAGAGCTCACTATACCAATAAAATCACAGATCTAGTCTTTATTTCTTTGTCTAACCATGAAGAATAGGACTATGGATTACCATTGCACGCTCATCCATGGGTAAAACTGTGCATGGGGCCTGCTAAGCAGAGAGCCAATTGTACTTCATGGTGGGGTAGACTTTGGGGGAATGTGAAGTGTGAAGAGTTTACCAATAGTAACTGTGCCTATGAAAGAACAAGTCTGTCAATATGGAACCATGGCCAAGGACCACTGTAGATCAACCATTGTCCTCAGGAGCAAGAGGGAAGCTTGTCCCTTATCCATATACAGCCAGCAGAAACACTCCATTCAATGGTCAATGATTACCTCAAGAGAAGTGCTTAAGCTAAATCTAGGGCCTGGTGCAAAGCTGCAGGCCAACCATAGGTAGATACATAGAAAAAGAACACAGCTGGGTTTCCTGGGTTTGACAGTCTTGGATACCAAGCTTCACTAACCTCCTGACTGCTCGAGGAAGAGTAGCACTGTGCTCTCATCTCTGCTTCGTAAGGAAGTGTAACACTAAGCTCTTACCTCTGCTGCCTGAAGAACAGTAATAATGGGCTGTCATCTATGCTGCCTGAAGAGCTATATAACCCTAGGCTCTCAACTCTGCTTCCTGAGGAGTCCAAGCTCTAGGTGTAACTCTCCAGTCATCTGGAATAACAATACAGCTAACTGCTCTTTGAGGGAACAGCACACCGACTACAGAGGGTTGACTGAATTAATATTTGCCAATTATTGCTTTTTGAGCATCTGCAGTGTTTTCACAGGAGACCACCAAAGTTCAGAACAAGAAAGTTTTCTGTGCTGTAGCCAAGTCACAACCAACACAGGTTATCGCTAACTCCCACCTAAGAGTTTTGAATAAGACATTTTCAGGGTGGGCATTAAGTTTTTCTTGTGAATAACATTCTCTTTTAGAAAGTGCTCTCCTGGCTCAAGCAGAGGAAGCCTCTTTCTGCCTGAGAGACAGCATTGAATGTGTAAAACTAATGAGACGCTCCATAAAGTAGTATGACCAGCACGGCAGGGTACCCAAGTGCAAGCAAAACCTGCAAGCCTTCCAAGAGACACATATGAGGGATTTTAAGGCCTTCCCCCCCATAGGGCCTGCAGCCAAAGGAGTCTATGAATGGATATACACAGAGCAGACTTTTCCATGGAGGGATAAAGGTAAAGGACCACACCCTTCCCTATGGCTTGAAGTACAAAATTGGAACCAATTCCACCTACCTATTGCCTTGCTGGGTTCTAAGCAGTTTTCATATACGCTGCTACATTTGGGGTTCCGGGGCTGCAAAAATGAGAAAAATATAAAGCAGTCACAAAAATAGCCCTCTGCAAAAAAACCTTCAAAATGCACTGACAATCCCCTTGTAACATATGGTGGATCACTCTTGCCTGACTTATTTGTCTAAGGTGAGAAAAGGAACCTTGGACTCTAAGCTAGGAGCTCTGACCACAGGACGTTGATCTAGGGCTGGCCCAGTGGGGCTGATCAGAAACTATAGGGAAGACTACACTAGCTGAAAAGGGCCTCTGTGAATTTATAATCTTCTTAGAAGGGCATGTTCCAAGATTTTCCAGAAGTCCATCCAGATCCTAGATAGAGACTTTGGTTTTTAGGACACCTGGGAAAATAATGGACAGAGGGCAACTGTCTCTCACCTGGAGATCTTTATTACCAGATTTGTCTGAAAAAGTCTGGAGTTAGCCCTTTCTAAAGATAGGGGCATAGATCAAATAACCTCTCGAAGTCTCTTCCAATCTTGTAATTTTATAAGAAATAATTTCTCGTGTCATGTATAATTTAGATACTAATATAGATATTGGGGGAAATAGGGATTGGGTAAACATATAGATATGGGGGAAAATAGAAGTAAATGAAAGTCATATCACTCTGAAATTATTCATAGGATCATAGAATTAGAACTGGAAAGGAAATCTGAGTTCATCTAATTCAACTCTCTTTTTGTGGGTAAAGAAACTGAGGCCCAGAGAAATTAACTGACTTGCCCAGTTGCCCAGTATCACATCAGTATTAAATGGCAGAGCTGGGATTTGAACCCAGGTCCTCTGACTCCAAATCTAATAACTCTTTTTAAAAAAATAAATAAATAAAGGAAAGAAAGATGTTTCTGCTGCCATTGTACACAAGATTCTAGAGTTAGTTTTGACAATGGCTTGCTCTGTGACCTACAATCAAGCATGTAATCTCAGGGCACCTAGGTGGTATAGAGTATAGAGCACCAGGCCTGGAGTCAGGAAGACCTGAGTTCAAATTCAGCCTCAGACACTTGCTAGCTGTGTCTTTGCCAGGAAGATCCCAAACAGGGTCATGAAGAGTCAGACATGACTGTAACAAGTAAACAACAACAATCTCTGGGCCTCAATTTCCATATCTATAATGTGGAGGGAAAGGACACTTTTTTAAAATTGGGATTGAACTACTATAGTTAGCCTCTAAGGTCCCTTCCATCTCTAAATCTATGGTCCTATGACTTTTGAAATTGGAAAATGAAACAGGCTAGAGCAGACACAATAACAAAATCACACCACTAGTTCTAGCACAAAGAAAGACTTCCTTACTGAACAACACAGCTTTTCACATTGTATTGGGCAGTATGTTCTTTGCTCTGTGCTCTGAACTTTCGTTCGGGCATCTAAAACACCACCAGCAGGTGGCTGCTTCCCTGGAATTTCATTGTAATACTCATGTTCTTCTTTTTCCTCCGTATTGTCCTCCAAATTCACCTGCTCCCTGAAAAGAGAGAAAACAACCAACAGACTAGATCAGGAATTAGAATACTAGTGGACATGTGGAAGGAATAGATACGGTCAGGGAGATTCAGCTAGGTCTTGATCAGAGCGAACAACAAATTCACACTGCCTGTTTCCATTGGGCAGGAAGCAATGACTATATTTTACATAACTTGTATCTTTAAATAGTGCAAATATGAATGTATAAGACTACTTCATGGAATTCATTATTCCTACTAATAAGGACCTACCTAATTATCTACATTAACAGATTTTGCTCTGATAATTTAGCACCTCACAAGATGCTTTGCACACAAGAGTTAAATAAATGTTTTTTGAATGAATGAATGAATCTATAAATCTGTAGCTTTACTGACACTGTGCCAAACATTTAAATGGAAAAATTTAGATGTTTGAATTCTTTAGTTTTCACTGGGTTCTTGAAATGGTGATAGCCAACGAATGGTGAAACAAATAATGTTTCACACCTTCCTCTGTTAATGATTAAACATCAAGACTCTTTAATGGATGGACATTTTGTCATAGGAAACATAAGAACATAAAGGCTTTCTGAGCTGTTCCAGGGCATTTATTCTTCCAAAAGAATGCTGTCAGTCTCTTTCTAAAATGCTTTGCTTAAAGAACCAATATGGTTCCTTCAGTAGAAAGCCTAGCTCAGTTCATTAAATCAAAATAAGAAAAATGTGGGAGCTATAGCCAGTTATCTTGTCAGCATAAATCTGGATGAAATATATAGGGTTTATAAAGAAATATTAAAACCGTATGTGACATGTGGGTAGGATTTATATAAACATGCATTTGTTTTTAAATTGAAGAAGGGTACAAAAACAAATGCATTTTTCTTCCAAATGGGAGTGAGTAAAAGTTTTGTGTTTTTCTTTTCAAAGAAAAACAATAAATCTAATCTCCTTTGGACTTAAGTGATGTCCCTGATAGGTCACACCACTTGGTCTTATTACACTCCAACTGAATGATGACATTGACTAACATGCATCTGTCTTCCTAGAGCAAACTAAAGACCAAGGGGTTCTTGCACTCCTTGCTGCTCCTCTCTGAAGGAAGATTTTCCATGCCAGAGTTTATTTGAACAAGAATGAAAGTGACAGATTATAGGGAAAATCCTACATATAAAAGGGCCTGAGAATTTACTTTCTTAGGCTTAGATAATGAGATACCCAGGCTCATGCCCCATTCCACATATGGTAGCATCTAACAGGACAGAAAGATTTTTTCCATTCCAAGTTGCTGAGCCATGGATAGCATGACTAGATCTTTTCATCACAACCTGTTCAACTGGAGACACGGTTTAGAAGGAACTAACTTTTTTTTAACTTTGCAGAATGTAAAAGTAATATGGATGAAGACTCTCAGAAAAATGAACATCACTGTGCAAATATAAAGCATACACCTCTTGTCGTAGTTCGTGTGGCTATAGCTTTAAGATTTGCAAAGCACTTTATGTACATTATCTCATTTGACTTCATTATTATGGACTATCAGGCCAACAGGAAGTGTTGGTTCCTGATGCTTCATTCCTGTTTCTTGCTTCTTTGTTCTTGAGTTTTTGACTGCTATGTGAAAGAACATCAGGGATAAAGGGAGAAAATGGAAAAATTAGTTGATTTTTAAAAATTAAGGTATGAAAAAAACCCCACAGCATCTGGATTAAACTGCAGTCTACCACCTTGTTCACAGAATTAGAAAACAATATCAAGATGGGTACAGACAGAAGAAGAATTAGAAATACCACTTTGTATCTGATACAACACCTTCATGGATGGAAAAAATATAAAACACATTGTTTGTGAGCCACTCTACATAAGCTTCATTTTATCTGAAAGAAAAGCAGAACATAGTAAGTCAAACAATTACAGAACACTTGGCTGACCTTTCGCCGGGAATATTCAAAGAAGAAGGATTTTTCAAATACTCTTTAAATCGGAGTTCAAAAGCCTGCCCTATGGTATTTATGACATCTTGAGCCATTCCACTGGGACATTCCAATATGTGGCAGGCTATAAGAGAGAGTGAAAAAAGAGTACATTACTAGGGGTCTTCCATAAGAGGGGAAGCCTTATTTCAAAATATTATCAGAAGAAATCTCTAGGTAAGTGTCTCTCTTTTTCTTGGGTTTCCATTAGCTCCTTTCATCTCTGAAATGTTATAATGAATCCCACATATTTCACTTCATACTGAAGCATCATACTCCATAAAAGCATACTTACTTCCATTCTTCAGGAATACATGATTTTCTCAGCACGGGGATTCTTTCTACTGATGCTTGCTACCTGTGCAATCTTAGACAAGTCATTGAACCTCTCTGGGTCTCAGTTTTCTCATCCATAAATGAGGGGGCTGAACCAGATGACACTGACTTCCCTTCAAGCTCTAGCTCTCTGATCATATGACACTATAATTGGTGTAGTTTCCAACTCTTTACACCTTAGAACATAGTTTTTGTGAATTGCTGTGGCCAAAAAAATCCAACATCACCCGGAGATTAACCTTCTTGCGAGGAGCCTTTCCAGATTTCCCTAGACTGGTTCTCTACAGATATGTAGCCCTATCCAGGACCATCCTCAGAGCCCTGGAGCTTGATAGAGCTTGGCAGAGTTTGTGTTCCATTGGCATAGTCTTCAAGAACCCAAGGTCACCTTCACACCATGACCAGGCCCTGAAGACTCTGGTGGACACAGAGCGCGGGCCAGGAGTTCTCAGGTGTATTGGCATACCTGGAACATGTTGTATGCACATCTTTGAGAGGAAGCCATAAAAAAAACACATATGATGTTTTAAAAATTCCTGAAGCACGTTCCATCTAAATATCTCAAGGCATTTTGTGAATTTTGCTCTTGAGTCTGGTTTTCTTATGCTTCTTTTCCAGCAGGAGAAAATGGTGTGGAATGAACATGTGATTTGCATAAATCAATGTAAGCCTTCTCGCTATTCTTCTGGCATTCAATGCTATAAACTTCAAGTCAGGCTTCAATTGGGTAATAAAAGTTTGTTCTAGGGCCTTTCAAAAATTCATTTAATATATTTGAAAAAGAAGTTATAGGACTAGCTCTGCACAAGCAGAAGAGAATAAAGGCAACTATAGAACACTATGAAATACAAATTAGCAACATGATTCAAGGTTCAAAAAAAAAAGAAAGCAGGTTACCAGGATGTGTAAATAAGAGTTCATTATCTAGGAACTGTGTTAATCTTCCCTGCACATTCACCACTGATCTTTATTAAACAAGGCCCAGAGTTTAGTGTTTTGCAAATGAAGTGTTTAATTAAAACTGAAGTATGGAAGATGGTGGAGAAAAGGCAGCAACTCACCAGAGCTCTCCCCAAAATCCCTTCAAACACTTTTAAATAACGCCATAAAACAATTCCTGGAGCAACAGAACCCACAAAGGGACAGGGTGAAATAATTTTCCAGCCAAAGACAACTCAGAAGGTCAGCAGGAAAGGTCTGTTGCACCTGGGTAAGAGTGGAGCAGCGTTCAATGCAGGCCATGCCAGCCCAGACTCAGCCCCAGAAAACCAGGAGCAGGCCTTGGGAACCACTGAATCAGCAATGGCAGCTGCTGCTTCTGGATCTGTCAGTGCATAGACAGTAAAGGGGCCAAACAGCTGATCAGAAGGAGGTCTCTTTGCTGGCAGTGGGGCAGATCTGGGTCATGGTCCTAGGTGGCGGTGCCAGGGTGAGGAGGAGCACTAGCACACTAGAGCTTGTGGCTGCAGTGGAAGAGGGACCCTCATCTTAGTTCTAGGGCAGAAAAGAGTGCTTGGGTTGCTCACAGGCTAGGAGAGTCATAAACACACCTCTCCTTATATCATACCACCTTGGAAAAACTGAAAACTTACAGGTCTCCAGAAGAATCTCTGAAAACAGGTGCACAAAACCTCTGAAGCTTGGGACATTGCACCCTGTACCCTGGAAGCAGAGCCCTACTTTAACAAAGAGTTAAAAGTCGAGAAAGAGTCTGGGGAAATGAGAAAACAGAAACAAATTCTTACTATAGAAAGTGACCATGGTAACAAGGAGAATCAAAACACACTCAGAAGACAATGAAGTCAAAGCTCTTACACCTAAATCCTCCAAGAAAAATATGAATTGATCTCAGGCCATGGAAGAGCTCAGAAAGAATTTTGAAAATAAAGTAAGAGAGGTAGAGGAAAAATTGAGAAGAGAAATTAAAGGGATACAAGAAAATCATGAAAAATGAATCAACATCTTGGTAAATGAAACACAAAAAATACTGAAGAAAATAATAGCATAGGCCAAATGATAAAAGAAGTAAAAAAAAGTCAATGAGGAGAAGAATGCCTTAAAAAGCAGAATTAGCCAACTGGGAAAAAAAGCACAAATATTCACTGAAGGAGAAAAAGCTCCTTTAAAAGTAGAATTAAGCAAATGGAAGCTAATGACTTTATGAGAAATCAAGAAACAATAAAACAAAATCAAAAGAATGGAAAAAATAGAAGATGATGTGAAATATCTCATTGGAAAAATAACCTGGAAAACAGATCCAGGAGAGATAATTTTATTGGACTACCTGAAAGCCATAATCAAAAACAGAGCTTAATCAATGTGATGTGTCCAGCTGCTGTGTGAGCATCAACTCTCCATCAGCTCTGCCTCCTGGCTTCCCTGGCTTCCTTGGAGTCCCAGCTAAAATCCCCCCCTTCTACAGAAAGCCTTTTCTGCTCCCCCTTAATGCCAGTACCTGCCCTTTGAGACTTCTCGATTTATGTTGGCTAAAGCTTGTTTGTACATATCTGTTTGCATGTTATCTTCCCCATTAGACTGGCAGCTCCTTGAGAGAAGGGACTATTTTTTGCCTCTCTTTATATCCCCAATCCTCAGCACAGTGCCTGGCTCACAGTAGGCATTTAATAAATGCTTATTGGTATGACAATGTCCAAAAAAAAGAGCCTAGACATCATCTTTCAAGAAATTATTACACAAAATTGCCCTGAGATTCTAGAACCAGAGGGTAAAATAGAAATCAAAAGAATCCACCAATCACCTCCTGAAAGAGATCCCAAAATGTAAACTCTCAGGAATATTATAGCCAAATCCCACATCTCCCAGGTTAAGGAGAAAATATTGCAAGCAGCCAGAAAGAAACAATTTAAATAGCATGGAGCCACAGTCAGGATAACACAAGATTTAGCAGCTTCCACATTGAAGTATTGGAGGACTCGGAATATGATATTCTGGAAGGCAAAGGACCTAGGATTATAACCAGGAATTACCTACCCAGCAAAACTGAGTATAATCCTTCAGGGGGGAAATGGATATTCAATGAAATTGAGGACTTTCAAGGATTTTTGATGAAAAGACCAGAGCTGAATAGAAAATTTGACTTTCAGATACAAGAGTCAAGAGAAGCATAAAAGGTAAACAGAAAAGGGAAATCATAAGGGAATCAATGAGGTTTAACTGTTGACATTCCTACATAGGAAGATAATACTTGTAACTCATAAGAATGTTCTCATTATTAGGGCAGTTAGAAGGAATATGTGTGTGTGTATATATATATACACATATATATACATGTATGTATGTATGTATAGCCCAGGTGTGAGTTGAATATGTAGGGATGATATCTAAAAAAATAAAATTAAGGAGTGAGAGAGGATTGTGCTGGGAGAAAGGGAATGGGGTAAATTATCTCACATAAAAGAGGCAAAAAAAAAAGCTTTCACAGTGGAGGGGAAGAGGTGGGGAGGTGAAGGGGAGTAAGTGAACTTTACTCTCCTCAGAATTGGCTCAAAGAGGGAATAACATACACACTCAATTGAGTATAGAAATCTATCTTACCCTATAGGAAACTAGGAGGGATAAGGGATAAGAGGAGGGGGGTGATAGAAGGGAGGGCAGATTGGAGAAGGAGGTAATCACAAGCAAAACACTTTTGAGGAAGGACAGGGTGAAAGGAGAGAGAAAAATAGAATAAACGAGGAGGAGGGGAATAGGATGGAGGGAAATACAGTTGACAATAGTAACTGTGAAAAAAAAATTTTGAAGCAAGTTCCTCTGATAATGGCCTCATTTCTCAAACATATAGACAACTGAGTAAAATTTGTAAAAATAAGAGCCATTCCTCAATTGATAAATGAGCAAAAGATAAGACCAGTTTTCAAATGAAGTAATCAAAGCTATCTATAACCATATAAAAAAAGTTCTCACTATTGATTGGAAAAATGCAAATTAAAACAATTCTGAGGTACTACCTCATACCTATTAGATTGGCTAATAGAATAGAAAAGGAAAATGAGAAATGTTGGAGGGAATGTAGGAAAAATAAGACATTGATGCACTGTTGGTGGAGTTGTGAACTGATTCAACTATTCTCTAGGGCAATTTGGAACTGTGCCCAAAAGGCCATAAAACCCTTTGACCTAGCAATACTACTACTAGTTCTGTATCCCAAAAGAGATAAAAAATAAAAAGGAAAAGGACCTATATGTGCAAAAATATTTATAGTAGCTCTTTTATTGTGGCAAAGAATTGGAAATTGAGGAGATGCCCATCAATTAAGGAATGGCTAAACAAATTGTGGCATGTGATTATGATGGAACACTATTGAGCTATAAGAAATGATGAGCAGGATGCTCTCAGAAAAATCTGGAAAGACTTACATGAGCTGATGCAAAGTGAGATGTACTGTGTACAAAATAACATCATAAGATGATCAGCTATGAATGACTTAGCTCTTCTCAGTAATGCAATGATCCAAAACAGCTCTGAAAAACTTATGATGAAAAATGCTATCCATCCCCAGAGAAAGAACTGATGGTGTCTGAATACAGATTGAAGCTTACTTTTTTTTACTGTATTTATTTTTCTTGAGGGTTTTTTTGTTTTTTGGTCTGTTTTCTTTCACATGACTACTATGGAAATGTTTTGCATGGCTACCCATGTATAATCTATGTCGAACTGCTTGCCTTCTCAATGAGGTGGGGTGGGGAAGAAAGAAGGGAGAGAATCTGGAACTCAAAGTTTTAAAAATAA